TACGGCACGAATGCCATGATTCCGGTCAAAGTCAGGGAGCCCTCCTTTCGCCGACTACACTTTGACGAGTCATGCAACGACTCATCCCTCTGAGCAGAAATTGATGTCGTCAACGAGGTTCGCAACAAGGCGCGCATTATCACCGAAGCTCGCAACAAGGCGCACATTGTCACCGAAGCATGCAAACAAAGGATGACTAGGTGATTCAACTCCACCCTCATTAAACGGAGTTTCAAGGAGGGAGACCTAGTATGGCGTGTTCAGGGGTCGGCTAGGCAGAACCTGCGAGAAGGCAAGTTTGCAGCCAATTGGGACAGTCCATTCAGAATCTGTCATAATCTCAACAATGGAGCCTACAAGCTCGAGGATTTTCAATGCTCTAGCTTTGCAGTTTGACCTGGAGGAAACCCTAGTTCATCCCGTGGCTGGAACAGTTGGAGATATTGGATGGACACTTATTGAAACTTGATTTTGATTCGGATTCTTGTTTATAATTTTGGTTCAATTGTGCTTGGTGCTTTCTGAGTTGTTTTGGGCAGTGATATATGGTTGGTTACTATGGTAGGCAGGTCTGGTTCTAGTCTTGGTGTTGACTTGATTTGCTGGTTGGTTTTGGATAATGCAATAAATCTCGATGACTTCTAATTAGTAATTAGGACTTGCTTTATCTTTGCTCTTTGTTCAAGTATTTTTTATTTTGCAACTAGACATTTTGTACCTTTGTACGTTTTCTTTTACTTTTAATTTTCTGTACTTCTTTTGTGGGTTAGATCTGGTCCCCTCACTGCTTAATAAATGGCATGTTGTCTTTCCAAAAAAAAAATAGCCAAAAAAGAATCATTAAAACATTGTATATCTTTGATTCCCAATTTCCCATTATTTTTGGGCAACAATTTTTTTTTTCATTTCATCTATGATATTTTCTTTCTCCCTTCTTCCAACCCCCACAAGAATCTTCTTTAAATGGTCTCTATCTTCCTTACCTAACTCTAGGCATTTTAAAAAATGATAGAAAGAACAATGGTGTAGCACAAATAACAGAGTTGATCAAACATATTCTACCAGTCATAAAGGTTATTTCATACTTCCTAGATGATAACTTCTTATTGAATTTGGCAATAAATGACCTCCATGTTTATTCCTTTCTTAGGTTGGCTCCAACTAGGATTCCCAAATATGTGAATGGTAGGGACATTAATTTGCTGTTTAGCAAAGCAGCATACCTTTCTAAGACAATTTTTTCCACCCTAATTACCCCAAAATGACTCTTGAAAAAATTCACTGTCTATCCCGAACACAATTCAAAGCATCACAAAATACACTTAATACACTTAATAGTGGTAACATTACTTAGTGTTGCCTCACCCATAAACACTATAGCATTAGCATATTGCAATAAACTAACCTCGACCTGTTCTATTCCAACTACATAACCAATATATAAGCCCTTATCCACCGCTGCTTTCATCATACCACTAAGTCCTTCTAAAACAAAATTATATTGAAGAGAAAAAGGGTTAGGGGATCCCTTTGTCTCAACCTCTTTTATAGTTTGAATTCTTTTGTCAGGTTAATTACCATTAACCAATACTAATACATAACCTATAACTAAACACTCATAAATCCAAAAAGGTATACGAAGGACAGTTTGGAAAGCTCTGACATGAAGATTATTGGCCTACTTACATTGGTCCAACTTTGTGGCCAAATCCAGAACTCAAGCGAATTTTCAAGGGTCGGCCAAAGTCCAGCAGGATTAAAACAGAAATGAACATTAAAGAACAACATAATCAGTTTCTGCCACCATTGATCTTTATTGTTGTATTGAATTTTAATAAATTTATTTAAATATATTTATAATGTTAATATTCAATAAATTTAGTTATTTGATGTTAGTTTCTGAGTTTTGGTATTTGATAAGTGAAAATCGAAAAAAAAATTATTTGTAGGTCAGAACGGCCGTTCTGGTTCTACTTTTTATGTGCTAATTTTGATTTTGGAACGGCCCGTTCTGATTTGTTTTTCATGTGTTATTTTTTAATTCGGAATGGCCCTTTCTAATTTCAGAATGGCCCGTTTCGAAACGTGAACAGTAAATGGTGCTAGTTGGATAAATAAATTTGCACAGTTACTATTTGGGTAAAAAAATTTAAAAGTATTATTTGAGTAAAAAAAACTCGAAAAATGAGACAAGGATGACGTTATTCGACTCTACAGTAATACATCATAACTTCGCTAACTTAGGTCAGTTTCTAAAACATTTTACCAAAATAAAGTTGTTTTAAAACAACTTCTCACTGTAAGATAGTTAACACAATCTCATCCGTATTATGTATTTTTTCATAAAAGTGAATTGTTTCATTCCATGGTTTATAGCATCAAACACTTGATGTCAGATCTTGTTGCATCTCTTACATGGAAGTTGTCAGATCTTGTTGCATCTCTTACATGGAAGTTGCATATAGGGGTGGGTAAACGGACAAGTCCGACCCGTTTAAGGTCTGGTCCGTAAAACTCGCATTTTATACGGGCCAGATAAGTTCGGTCCGTAAAATAAATGGACTTATTTTTTAAGTTCGTATCTAGCCCGCCAAAATTCGCAGATAACAAACCGGTCCACCGGCCTAAATAATGGTTCAAAAAAATAAAATTTTAAAAAATAAAAATACATAAAATTAGAAGAAAAAAATATTTTTTTTATTTATATAAGCTAAATTTTATCATACTAAAATTTATCAATAGTTAAAATGGTTTAAAATACTAAATATTAAAATATTAAAATAAAAATAATTATAAATATTTAAATATTAGTACCAAACTTTCAATAATAAAAGCATTAAAATGTCATAAAAATAATTCAAATGACAAATACATACCAACTAAACATAATTTTAATGTCATAATAATTTAAAAAATTAAATACACAACTTAATATTAAAATCACAATATTTAAAAATATTAATTAGTGAAGTCCGCAGACTAGCCCGCGAACCCGCAGATTAAATCCATCAAGTCCGCAGACTTCACGGGCCGGGCTAAAAAATTAAACATA